CCCCGCCACCCCTCCGTCTCCTCCCGGGGCAACGGCGTGAGGTGCCGCCGCCCGTTTGGGGCCGGGGGTGGGAGCGGGGCTTCGGTCTTGAAGCCCTTTTGCTTCTCACCAGAGACCTGGCGCGGGCTCACAGGTTTTCTTCATGCGCGTAACTCGCACCAGCCTCTTTCCTTCATCTGTGGAGGCCCGGTGTGAAGTAGATCTTTTCCTTATCCACTCCGAGAGCATCGGGCCGTTCAGTAGCTGGTATAATCTGACTTTTGGGTTTTTTTTTTAGTTGGGTGCTGAGGTCGGGTTTCTAGTCTGTCCCTTGGCGTTTCAGGCTGACGTCGTTTCTTGGCGAGCTTTGTGAGTGGTACGGCGTCCTCCCGCGGTCGTGCGTCACCTCTGAAAACCGAGCCGCGGAGGTTGTGCGTGTGTGTCAAGGTTATTTTAACTGAGGTTAGCCAACAGCTGCCTGCCGGCGGGAACAGCACCAGCCCGGCCACCCCTCTGCTCCGCCCTGGCACATCCACCATGCCAGGGGACGCAGGGAAGGACGCAGAGTCCCCTTACCCCCCGGTTCGGGGCTCTCTGAACCGGAGGAAATGCCAACAGGGGATGTGTGATGGCTTTGGTCTTTCTGTCTATCCAGGCTGCGTTAAGTGTTGGTTGAGCTGAGGGTATCCCCTAGTTGATGCAGCTTGAGCGCTCCCAGGTGCGGTGATCCCATGGACTTTCCAGTTGGCAGCACTTGGGCACCGGGCAGTAAGGCTTTCCCATAGGACAGGCAAGGTGGCAGGTGCTTCGTCTTCTGGATGCCCAAGGCAGGCAGTATCTTTCCACTCGAGCTCTTCGTGATACAGTTGGAAAAAGTAGAGGAGCTTTCCAATGCGTAAGCCCTTCCTCAGGTCTGAAGCAGATACTCTGTGTTTCAGAGATAAGCGTGAGTTGAGAACGATAACTTGGAGTTTAGTGCGTTGGTGTGGACCGTATACCCAAGGATGTTGGCCGTTTTGAAAGTACTAGTGGTTGGGCATCTGCGAGATCCTGTGCCCTAGAGTGTATCTAAACTTGCTTTGAAAGAAGCAAGTTTTGGCCGCCTTTGGTTAGCTCTGTGGAGGAGCATCCCGTGACATCTCAGCAGCAGTGTGCCCCCAGAAATGCTGTGGGAGATTTGGGGGTTGGTTCTGACCTCTTCTCTCCTCCCTCTTTCCCATTTTCTTTGAAGCTTACTGTTGTGGGATTTTCCAGACCAAACCCATGAGTTTCTTATCTTTCTTATCACCGTAGTGTTCTATTAATAACTAATACATAAGAAACTACTAGCTTCTATAAACGTGTTTTTTGTCTTCTATATGAGCAACAGGTGCTTGCTGCTTATATAACACTTTGGAAATCTCACAAAGGAACAGCAGCTGGCCGTTAACTTGCTAAATGTCAGTTTATGAACCTGTTTCTTTTTTCCCCCCTCTTTTCCCTCTCCCCGTGCTTTAATCTTCTTACGAAACTCAGAAATTTCCTGCTATCCAAGGGAGATTATTGCTTTACATTTGAACATGTGTTTGCTTTATACTAATCCTTTGCGCTGCAACCAATTAGTTTAAGACCTGTCCTTCAGAGATGACCCTAGGTGGTACGATCCTGTTAGTTAAAGGAGCTGGTTGCATAGCTTGAGAGTCCTCTGCCTATCACCAAGTTACAGGCGTTTCAAAATCAAGCGAATGTGAACGAAGTGATATCCCTGGCGGCTGCTGCTCTCACGCGCACGCTTTTTTTTTTTTTTAAGGTGTGGGACAACTCCTACTTTCTGTCAGGTTTTGATTGGCTTTCAAAAGAGGCAGTGTCCTATAAATTGCCATCTCCGCTCTGCTTCTGCTCTATCACCGGCTGAGGGACAGGTGAGTACAGAAGAGGGAGAATTCCAGTGTGTATTGCTTAATCCTTGAAATTAGCGTTGGTTGTTAATTTAAATTAGTGGGGTGGGAGAAACAACTTCCATGTTTCAGGATAAAGCTTCCTCGTTTTTCTTAATCTAGAAAACAAAAGGGTTAGTTTCCAGTATCAGCTTGGGTCAATGAGTAAAACCAGTGACTGAAAAAACTAGTCAGAAGGTAATACAGGGTAGGGGGAGTTGGAATATATATTTGTATATATCTTTTTTTCTCCAGTTCCTAACAGTACAGAAGTATTCCTCTTTGGGATAGTAAAAAAGAGAAACCTATCAAAAAATAAAGTTTTTTACATCAGTTAAATTAATACTTCTTATGTTCAGAGCTGTTAATAACTTCTCGAAGTTATTTAACGTGGGAAACCGATCTAGCAGAATGGGCTTTTCTGTCTAAGTTGCTCTTGCGAGGTAATCCCTTTGTGTTGGGGCTACCTTTATCTCATGGTTGGTTTGGGGTAGTGTTTTTAAGGGGTGCTGTTAATTTCTTTATATATCTGTGCGCTTGCTGGCAACTTTTAGAATTTAATAGAGCCCCCTCCCCCCCCCCCCCCTCCCCTTCCTATTTGAAATAGAAATACGTGCGTGTCGTAGGTGGGGTTTTTGCATGCAGCTGTGCTGCTTGGTGAGCCAGGGGTTTTTCAGTGTCTGGTGTTAAAATGTGTTTACTGTTCTTTTGAGTCAGCCTAGACTTGCAAGTAAATTCTCAGCTTAAGCCTTGTGCGGTTTCACTCCAGGTGCGTTTGGAGAAACCAGTCCAGCAGGTGGGAAACCAATTTGAACCTAGCGTGGCATTTTTAGTAGCAACTAACTTTAGTTTGTACTTTGTTTATAGAGCTTAAAATGCAAAATGCCTTTTTCAGGTACTTTAAGGGAAAATTTTGTGCAACAGAGACCAGCGAGTCTCTCTTAGTGCTATAAGAGTTGTTTATTCTCCCATTCTGAAACAAGAGGGGATTATCATGGCTCTTTAAAGGGCTAACGCTGCCCTTTAACACTCTTAGTGGGTTTCCCAGGGAGAAACATGTTCTACGAGATTGAATTGTCTGGATATGTCTGCCTGCTGCCTTCTTTCCCTGCACACCTAACTATTTTTGCACCTATCGGCTAATTTCAAGTAAGCTTGATGGGGACTGAGTCTCAAAAATAGCAAGAACATGTCTGTTTTGTGAAGGTGGGCTTGCAGGGGAGGGAAATCTCACTAGTGCCGTGGTTGAGGTTGGAGGGCACCTCTGGAGGTCATCTGGTCCAACCCCCCTGCTCAAGCAGGGCCACCCAGACCCAGTTGCCCAGGACCGTGTCGAGACGGCTCCAAGGATGGAGACTCCACCACCTGTGCCAGCGCTCGGTCGCCCTCACAGCAAAAAAGTGTTTCCTGATGTTCAGAGGGAACCTCCTGTGTTTCAGTGTGTGCCCGTGGCCTCTGGTCCTGGCACTGGGCACCACTGAAGAGAGCCTGGCTCCGTCCTCTTTGCACCCTCCCTTCAGGTATTTACATACACTGATAAGATCCCCCCCAGAGCCTTCTCTTCTCAAGGCTGAACAGTCCCAGATCTCTCAGCCTCTCCTCATAGGAGAGATGCTTCAGTCCCTTCATCATCTTCGTGGCCCATCAGCGATATAAGCTGAATTGTACTAATCAACATGGAAGAATCAAGGTATGAGAAAGATGTCATAACCTCTTAGATAGCAGTTAGTTAACTCTGAGACTGAGTCCTCAGGAAATGGGGCTGCTTCGCTTTCAGTGCTCAAGGAACAGCCTGTTTGCTCTGGTTTTGTTAGGTGGAGTTAGATGTAGGTATACAGAGTTGGTGTACAGCAAGGAATTGCAGGAGACTTTTGCAAAGCCTAGAGAAGATGGAGCGATTGCTTCTGTAGCACCGGGACAGGAGAGATACAGCTTTGACAGATCACACCTGTAATCGGGGAGACTGATCCCTCTGATGGGTTTGTGGCTGTGAGGTGCAGCAGAGGCTTGGCTAATTCATCAGGATACTAATTGACAGTGGTTCTCAAGGCAATAAACAAGTGAGCAAACGAGTCTGAGGGGGGGGAAAAGATGCATCTCAGAATAAGTCTCCTTGATCAGTTTTAATATGCAAATGTGATTTTTAATTTTGGGGGGAGGTATTTTATTAAGCATATGATAGATAGTTTAGCAAGCCTTCTGTATTTAAATAGCAGGACTCCCTAAAGTATCAGAAAATTCTCAGCCTTCTGTGTTTGCCGTAAGTGAAAGGAACACCCACATTAATTACTTGTTTGCTTTTCTATGCATACTAGAATTGGTAGTGCTGGAATTCATCTGCAGCAATTAGCTGATGTAATTTCTTGTTGTGGCCTTCCTTCACCCTGACTCTCTTTTTTTATAATATATGCAACAAGAACACATACGAGAAAAGAACTGGCAGGGTAATCTCAAGCAAGCTAGTTTTAAAGATGTTTTCATTTGGGGATTTACTCATTCTGTCACTTTGGGAAAGAGAATTAAAAGTTGTTTGAAGGGGGGATAAGGAAGAATTTAAGTGACTGCACCTTAGGAGTTGTATTTGAAAGGAGTAAACTGGAACCTCAGAAGAGGCCATTTGTGGATGCCTGTGTGATTCATTTGGGGTGCATTCTTCTCCATTTCCTTCCCCAATATGAAAGATTTGGAGAGAAAGAAAACCAAACTTGCACGTAGCTCAGGGTAGCTTAGGGATATTTTTGCAATGTGTTATTATAAGCAAATCACGTTTGATTTTTTTTTTTTTTTTTTGGTGAAGTAATTAGGACATTTTCATGAGTCCTGGGTAAATACTGCTGCTTCTTTGTTCGCTTCCTGAGTACTGTCCATCATGAGTATTAAGTTCAAGCAAAGCAGTGCTCTTTAAAGAGATTTACCGCTGCCTCTGTTGGCTTAGCTGAATCTTGCTGATGCAATAAGTAAGAAGGTTTGCTTATTCATGGCAGCCTACAAAACTTCCACTCTAAAGTACCTAGAGTGAAGCTGTGTAATCATAGCAGCTGAACTTGTTGAATTCTGTTTGTTGTCTTTTGTGCTTGAAATCGTGATTTTTAAGTGTTTTAAAAAGGCTTAAACTTGAACTATATTCTCACTGTTCATTATACTGGATTCTGTGCTGGGGCTGTGGATATTTTCTTGAGCTTGCTCTGGTGAATACATTACTTCTATTCACGTTACTTCACAGGCTGCTTCTAGTAGACAACGTGGCTCTCAGCTTGGGCACGTCAGCTAGGGCTTGGATTGCATCACACTTCTCTTAAACCCTTCAGAGTTTTCCAGGGGAGTGTTTAAAATGTTTAATATGGTTGAGTCATTTGTGACTGATCTCTTCTCTTCTTCTCACAGTGTATTTGAAGGAGGAAGATGCCAATTGTGAAAAACGTGAGCAGAGCTGTCAGCCAGCTGCTACAGAGCTCTGGTTGTGGATGTGGGATTTCCATCGTGCCTGTTCGATGCATTGGCGTCTCACCCCGGCAGGTGGCCTCCGATGCTAGCTTTCACTCGGTTTCTTTTTCCGAGTCTGATCATCCTCGGGTGCTAATTACAGGTCAGCATTCCTGTCATAGCTCTGTTCCTGCTCCAGCTTCTCAGTCAAGTCCCCTGCTCCCCTCCTCCCTTCCCGGTGAGCAGAACGCTGGAAGCAAAAATACTCAAATATCCCAGAACTGTGATGGTCTTTCCCGTATGGTGATAGGATCAGAGTCCCATGTGAACTTTCCTACTATTTTTATTCCAGAAATCTACTAAACCCAGTTCATTGGGTTTTCCTTGAGGAAAAATATAAAAGCTTTCTGACTCGCTGAGAAAAACAGTACTCATTTCTGATGTGATACATGTAATAATGGAACTCTGTATTTTGATACCGCTTTTTCCTCTGATTTTTCTCTCTTGTGCGTTGCCTTTTAGGTGGTCTTGGCCAGCTTGGAGTGGGACTTGCTAAGCTTCTGAGGTACGCCATGATTCTCTGACTTGCTGTTAGTGAGGAATTCAAGCTTTAGCCGACACTTCTAGAAGCAGTAATTTCCTGGAAAGTGCCTTTTAAAAGAATCCTAGTGACGCGGATTCTTTTTTGCATCTTAGTTTTGTAAATAACTTTAAATTTTCACTGTTTTTTTATTTTTTTACTCCTGTGCTTGGTTTAGGTTCACTGACGTACTTCCTGTGTGTACATTGGTCACGATTCCCAAAATAACATAATTTTGTCTAAGAGACCAGCTGCTGAGTTCAGTTTGCTTCCAGTTAAATGGAAGTATTAGCAGTCTGCATCCTCAGAGAGTGGTCAGTCTTCCTTTCCTCCTTTTTTGGTCTAGCCAAATAAGGCTGGATTTGAGTGCTCAATAGAGAGACAAAGGCTGCAATTTTATGCAGGTACTGTAGAAGAGAAAAAAGTGCAAACATCCACTTGAAAAAAATACGTAGTCCTTTGCTAACTACCCTGCTGTTGGGCTTTGCAACTGCTGACTTTTATCTTTCTGAGAATTTCAGTTAAGTAACTTCAGGAATAAGGTGCCCTGTTTAGTAAAGCGCAAAGAAAAGTGAAGATTAGGATACGAGATCTTGAAGTTTTTATGATTTGGTGAAAGACAAACTGATGCAGCAAAAGGAGTAAATCGAAAATATATTTCTTCTGGCTCTTTCTGTTCCCCCACCTCACATACACAGTTACCTTATTTTTTCCACGGTATCTTTTCAAGAACTGTAAAATGCTCTGAGAGCTCTCCCTGTTCCATGTCGTCGTCCGTATCCACGCTTACTCAGCTCCAGAGTATCGTTTGCACATAGACAGTGTTTGTTGCAGAGGCTTTGGACTATGGCCAAAAGTGAGCAAACTCACTGCATTCAACACTGTTGCAGTTTGAATGTTTTTTACCATTTCTATGAAATATTTAAAACTCATCCAAATAATGGAAGGCCGGAATGTACTCCAATGTCATCAGACTTGCTCTCTGCGACAGCCTTGTGCTGATTAGAAAAGCACGAGGCAGAGATTGCTCAGTTGTATTTACTTTGTTGATATAAAAGTAGCTGCAGTTACAGCAAGCCCAGAGGCTTTTTGTTGTCCGCAGGGGAGTAGATTATCTCTGGGTAAAATTTTCAGAAAGAAGAAGGTAGGAAGGTCTGTCTTCTCAATATATTTTTGTTTTCTAAAAGACTTCTCTGTCCTTATGCAGTCTTTCACTGCTACTAGAAGTAGTTTACTAATTTTATAAGATGCTGTATTGTCATTTAAGGGACCGGTGGTTTTTTTTTTTTAAGTGCAATAGCTGATTTCATTGTGGAAATTATTGTTCTTCTGATATATCTCCTGATAAACAAAATAGCAGCATAGCACTTTATAAATTATCTTGAAGACTGTGGACTCACTGTACTGTGTGGGTATTTTTACACAGGAAACGCTTTGGAAAGAACAACGTGATCTTGTCTGACATTAGAAAGCCTGCAGATAGTGTTTTTTATAGTGGTAAGTGACTGGGGAAGCATATGGAAAAAAAAATCTTGACTTTACGTCTGATGTCGATAGACTAATTACCAAAGTCTAAATTATAAGTGGATTGAACTGAACAAGTTGCTGTTCGAAACTTCTGGATAATGCCTTCCTGCTTTGAAATCGTGCCAAGACATTGATTTCTTCTACCTATTATTCCCTTTTTCTAAATATTTTTCTTTGCATTTTTGCACTGTTGCTTTGCCATTTTGTTGGCCAGAATAGCTACTTGAGTCAAGTTGAGCTTGGCTGTTGTGCTCCTGCTGTAGAAAGAGATGCATGTATTCTTTTGGAGGGAACGAGTTGGAAATTAAATTTGTGCTTCGTTTTTTCCATGCTCAGGCAATTTTCATGATCAGATGGATGTAGAGTAGGTTTTTTGGATTCTTTTATTTTCATTAGAAACTTGCATAAGTTTTTCTTCATCATTACTGTTTAGTGATGTATTTAGATATTTGAATAGCGTACACTACGTGTTCCCTGTTTTCATGCCATTGACTGGATAAAACAGGAGTTCTTGCATCAGTCTGAGATAAAGGTAACAGTTTCCCTTCATTTCTCCTGCTTATTTACTAATTTATTGACCCCTGCTGTTAGGTGTGCATTCTGCTATGCAGTCAAATCCTGAATATAGGTATGGTCAAGAAGCAGCAGTTTGAGTTTCATGTAGGACTTTTCTTTATATCCATTCTTCTTGACATTCGATCTCCTACTGGTTCCATTTCTTCTAGGTCCTTTTATCTATGCGGATATCTTGGACTACAAGAATTTACGTGAGATAGTGGTGAATAACCGGATAACTTGGCTGTTCCACTATAGCGCTTTGCTCAGTGCTGTTGGAGAAGCAAACGTCCCTTTGGCCAGAGCTGTAAATATTACCGGTATGTGACATGGGTTTCAAGTTCATGACTCCTGCAGAGGCTTGAGAAAGTGCAGTGTATGTTCTGATAAATCCTGTTGGTTGTTCCAGGTTTACACAACGTTCTGGATATTGCAGCTGAGCATAATTTGAGACTCTTTGTTCCAAGCACTATCGGAGCCTTTGGACCCACCTCTCCTCGAGATCCAACTCCTGATCTCTGCATTCAGAGACCTAGGACAATCTATGGAGTCTCCAAGGTTCACGCTGAGCTCATGGGAGAAGTGAGAATTTTTTGTTTTATTTATTTCATGAAAGTTCTGGGAGAACTTCACTGCTTTTGTAAGATTCCTCACTGCAGTGTTCTTTTCCCCGTTCTTTCCTTCCTGCAGGCTTTAGTACTCAACAGTAGTCTGAGGCAGCTCTTACGGACAAATATGTTCTGAGTTTTGTTGGAAAAAGTACAAAGAATTGGAAGCTGGCAAACATCTGACTTCCAATATCATTTCTTTCCCTGGTTCTTTTGACTTTGGCCTCTCTGCCTCATCTGCCAGTATGAATGGCCTTGCATAAATGACAGTGTACAAAACCTTGTGAAAGCATGCTAGACAATGATGACTTTTGCCCTTCCCCCCCCCCCCCCCCCCCAAAAAAGACAGACTCTGAAGTCAAAGCCGTGGGAGTCTGTACATGCACAACTTCTCTTTTGGCTTTGTAGTTTTTTAGAAACATAACATTGTTAAAGCTGATATTTTTACATACGGTTTCCTCACACTTCAAACTGATGAAGGACAGTGGCAGGTCTGAAGACTGTATTAACCTGAAATGTCTCTCAAACTTAGGAATGTTCAGTTTCTGAACACTAGACCTAGACCCTACATTAGAAGCCAATCCGTATCAAGAATTCATATCTGCTGATGCAGATGTAAACTAGAAAAGGGCAAGCAGGGAGATCAGCTGCCTGGCAGGGAATGGAGACTGTTCAGTAGTTCCTTTTCTTTCATCCCTGTCATGGGATGGCTACGGAATGAAGGTTCATCCTGTGGCAGATTTTTCCTGTGAAATCAATGAGTTGTGTGGCCTAGTCTTGGTGCGTAAAGCCGTGTTTCCTTCCTCCCTCCATAGTACTACCACTACCGGTATGGTCTAGACTTCCGCTGCCTGAGGTATCCAGGAATTATATCCGCTGACTCTCAGCCTGGTGGGGGAACAACTGGTAAGTGACTTGTGCGTAGTTCTCAGTATTGCAAGCAAGAGCGGCAAAAATGTAAGCCAACACAGTCATTTTTAATGTGTTTGTAGAAATTGAACCTGTGGCAGTATAGAGCGTCAGTGTAGAGATGCTATTTCAGCAGTGTTACAGCAATACTTTTGTCCACTCCAGCTTAGGGCATAATTTCGTAGCCTTTACTTTTAAACAGTATCAGATTTTTTGGATTGATTACACTCATTGAGACCATTTCCTTTAAAAATATTTTAAACTCTGCTGTCTTGCTGCGATGTGCAAATGCTAGAATAGCATTGGGATAGTTTGGAATGACTTCTACGACGTAAATCATACACAGTTCTGCTGCTAGACTTTAGACAGCAGACTTTGGGGGTAGTCTGAGGATTGTTGGCTGTCATGAAGTGAGCGACAGATTGAGGCAGATGAGTACACACATCCATTGTCCTTTTCTACAGATTATGCTGTCCAGATTTTCCATGATGCCATAAAGACTGGCAAATTCCAGTGCAACCTAAAGCCGGACACTCGTCTCCCTATGATGTATATTGATGACTGTCTGAAAGCGACTCTAGAGGTCATGGAGGCCCCTGCAGAGGCACTGAGCATGAGGACATACAACATCAGTGCCATGAGCTTCACTCCTGAAGAGCTGGCGCAAGAGGTGCAGAAGCACGTTCCTGAACTCCAGGTGACCTACAATGTGGATGAAGTCAGGCAGGCCATAGGTTAGTATCGGCTTCTTGGTAGGAAAATATATTAGATTGCTATATGTTGAGGGCAAAACAAAGTTTCTTTTCTTTTGAGGCGCTTGCAAATTGCTCCTGTACAGTTCAAGTCTTACAGTTTGAAATTCAGTTCAAATGGCCACTGATGATACGTCTTACAGTTTAAAGAAACTTTTCTTAAACCTCATGCTCCGTGTTTCTTCTTTTCTTTTCATTGCAGCTGACAGCTGGCCGATGAACTTTGATGACAGGAACGCCCGGAGGGATTGGGGTTGGAAACATGATTATGATCTCCCTGAGTTGGTGACTACAATGTTTAGCTTCCTTGGGTCTGACTCCAGGATTGCTCAAGCTAACTGAAATACTTTGTAAGATGTTTCCAGATTTCCACAGAGGACCAGGAAGAAATGGCTAAATTAGTTTATAATCTTCTGAGTCTTAGAGCATGTCAATTATTATATTTTGTAAGTAGCAATAGATTTGGGCAGAAACATGCTGTAGCTGCAATGTACTATTAGATAAAAGAAATCATTTGGTACTGTCTTCAAGCACGGCACCAATGACAAACACAGAATTCTTGAACTTTCACGCTTAAGCAGCTAGGGGAAAGAAAAAAACAAACCAAAACACTTACTCCTGG